GACTGTATACAGCTTGTCTCAAAGGAATTTCTTTTAACAATCTATAAAGTTTTTATAGCTCTTTAAGATTATAAAATGGTGTTTAATTATATGTAATAGGTGTACTTGTTCTACTGGTATAGCAATGAATTAGAAAATGTTTATGTTCTCTCACATTACTTTTTTCAGTAAATTCACTATTTTAGCATTTTTCTTTCTTTGAATTTTCTCTTTTGTATACATGAATATCTCAACAGATAAGAATGGTAATGTTATTATACTTATACATTTATTTTTATTATTACTAATTACCTCTATTTCTATTTATCAGTAGGCCTTGCTCTAAATCAGCAACATTTTTTTCAGGAAAAGCACATTACATGGAAATTCTAATTATTTTTTAAGTGGTAGAGTGATTTCTTTGTCTGTCCCTTTGGTTTCCTCTGAGAAGCAACTCATAATTTAATTACTTTACCTTATTCCTTTTTTTCCTCTCCCTTTTTCTGTGCATTTTCTTCCCTGTTTGAAAATGCTGATGAATCCAGATTTTGCCCATAGTTTTTCGTGAATTGATGACAAATTCCCAGTGAAGAGTAAGCCTAAGTATGCACATCAAAGTGGTGTGAGATACATCTAAGATCACTGTTAGCATATAAACATTGGTCCATTTAGATTAAACTTGACTCTGAGCTGCTTCTGTTGCTGATTAAGAGATATAGGCACCTACATAAAATGTCATTCTTATTGAACATGCCTGTCATGAGTATTACTCTCTTGGATCACATCTGAATATGTAATCAGGGCATGGATGTTAAAGTCTTCACTCTCTGGTCATTCTATAAGACTAAGTTAATGGGAAATCTATAAACCCATTCAAGACTAAAGAAAAAAATTGAGTAAATGAGAACCTTTAATTTTTGTAGGTACTATAGACCCAGAATAACCTAATGTCTTTTATCCATTTGGGGCCATGGGGCTGTGACAGCAGTACATTAGACTCGATGGCTCCACAGACAAGGTCATGTTCCTACCCTCCAATGAAGGGTAGGCCTTGGTCTGATTTGTTTCCATATAGATGAATCACTTTCTCTCCAAATCACAGTGATCTCATCCAAGCTGCCAGCTGGCAATAGTCCCTTGGCTATGTCCTGACCACTCCTATACATTATCTGAAGTACTGTTAGGTAGCTTGAGCCAAAACCCCCCCAAAAAAACCTGGAAGCACCTTGACTCTTAAGCATTATGAATGATCCCAGGTCAGTGTTTGAGTCATGCACTAGTCCTGTCTTATTTGCTACTGTTCATGTAGCTTTTAGGACTATGAAGGAGTAATTTATTTAAAATTCTTTCATTGTACAGTCTTTCTTTTTGTATGAGTTAGCGTTTTCAAAGACAGGACAGGAAAAGATGAAAATATGTAAATAACTACATTCACTGTGACCAGAATTCAGTCTAACAAGAAGGAAGAGTGGCGTGCAGAAAAGATTGAGAGATGTTGTCTATACAGACAGGAAATATCATTTCAGATTTGCATGCAAGTCCTCTGAAACAGGAACATAAAAGTATACCTGCTCCTTGTTGTATGCTTTCCCTGATGACAAATACCAAGCTGATAAAATCTTTCAACTCTTTATCCAATATCCAATAATATGATTAATGGAAATCCTCTTGCTGCTATTACCAGAACTAGATTTATCATTTGTTCAGCCTCTCTGGGGTTCATCCTGGCACGTTCTTTTGCGTAGCAGAGGTATAGTTATTAACATCCTTGATGTCCCCTTTCAACTTTTTGTTTGCAGTTTTGTAAATTAAGAGTTCTCCGAATTTTTTGGTAGTGCAGATTTAATAAAAAACTCTCTTTTCTCCTGCTTTCCCAGCTAGTCTGTCTCACAGTGTAATGAGGAGAAAAAACCTCTCATTGTCTATAGCCTTATGACAGTCAGCTAATTCATCAACATTTTTAGTTTTGTAGGAGAAGCAATTTGTAGACCAGGCGATAATGAAAGACAGAAGATAATGGGCAGTAGCTTAGATTTAGAGACTTGTGTTTGTTTTGGAATTCTGTGATCCAGCACTTCTGTCAATTTAAATTAACTTCTAACATCATGTCACTTGATCATCGCACAAGTTACGGACATTTACCATCCTGTGAAGGAGGCTGCAGATGGCAAGCAATAAAACCATAAGGATCTCCCTCTCAGCAGTTTGTCACACTTTGTCCTTAGCTCCAAAATTTGGAAGGTGCATAGTGATATTAGTCCACTTGGGCTACACAGCTTTCCTCAGAGTTCAGATAAGTTGATTGAAATGTTCTGTCATGGCTGTTCTATTCCTACTGAGTCTACTGCCTTTGAATGGTCCAGACACACAGGCTTGTTTGGAGCTGGCTCATATATACGTAGCATGACAGTGTGCTGTGAATCTTAACTATTACCAGAGTGATTTGCTTAGCGTCATGTAAAAATCGTCAGCCTGGGATGGGAGCTGAACTCACTGTTTCTGGCTCCCACCACAGTACTGCAAGCATGAATCTATCCATACTAGATTTTTAGGTTATGTACAAAGTGAGAAAAAAGATCAAATAATCTGGAAGTTTATATAATTGCTATTTTGTATTCTGATTTCTGCCTCACTGTATCAATCTCTACCAAACACCAACAAATTAATTACCTATCATTAAAACATGTGAGTGCATCTGACATTCTGGTTGATGGCCTTTAGAAAAGACAGATATGCGATCAATAAAAGCTTTCTTCTCTCTAAGTGAGACTAGGATAAAGTGTCACCACAATCTACAAATCTTCACCTTTTTGGCTTAGACATGTCCCATTAATAGTAAAACAAAAGCAAACAAAACTGAAGCATCTACTTTCCTGAGAGATTACCAAAATGCTTATTTAGTCATTTAGACATTTCACCTGAGAAGATATACATCTCTGTACTCTTTTTCACTTATCTGTCAGTAAACTAGAGGTATAAGTATTAGTAATGATAAATTTATTTTAGTATAAATCCTGGATGTCCCTGAAGAGCATCTTGTTTCATTTTTCATCTTCTTTTTTATTTATCTATTACTGAAATTTCAACCTTTAAGTTTTAGTTCAAAACAGTTAAATTTCCTTCCCCATGGAGGAGTGACAGGCACTTTTTTATATTTCTTGTTATTGAGAAGAAATAATTCCCTTTTTCATTATGCAAATATAACTAGAAATAATTATGAAGTATGCTCATAATATATGCAAATCCCAGCACTAACAATTTGTGAGATGCTCGTATTTTATGTGATAGCAAAGAGCCTTTGACTTTCAAAGCACATAGATACAGTATGCTTTGTAGGGCTAGGAGGAAAAACTCTAGATGATACACTCAATTATCTTCCTAACAAAAACAAAAACAAAGAAAGCTACCTTATGATTCTCTTAAATTTATTTTTTTACATAACAGTGATGAGAACAGATCTTCTGGGTCAACTTGTCTCATTTCCTGGTATTACGGGCTGCCATGTCAAATATTTCTTTTCTGCAAATTGGTGGAGAATGAGCTTTTGCTTTCATGTCTTCTTCTGAAAAGTTCCTCATAAATTCTTCATGCTAAACATTTTTACAATTTTTGGCAAAAGTTGGTTCCAGTCCTGAGGACAACTTGCATTTAGCATAAAAAAATTATCTGTTTCTTTCATAATTTATTTATAGTAGGAAAGCAATCAAAACTCTTTAAGGCTTCTATTTTTCTGTACCAGACAAAGTAAGCTGTTTTTATCTTGCAGTTAGCTTGTTTCTGAAAGTCTTGACTTTTCTTCCAGTCCTTGAATATGCAGGGATGAAAATTTTGTCCAGAATCCTAGCAGGTGCTTTTTTGGTGTCTTGTTGATTTGCTGTAGCAGTTTCTGGAAATACTGATCTAACATAACTGGCATTCATTAACATCTGTTTATAATTACATATGCGGTTGAACCTTACCTTTAACTGCACAAAGTTCATTTTTGTGACTCTTACAAGAGCCTTAAAACAGAGTAGCAATCCCTGGGTGCCAAGCTCTGGATGAATAATATCTTTCTCATACTTATCTCATGAGAGATGTCCAGAGACTGAGATTTCTGCATGGGGGTCTAACTCCATGGCCACGTGGTGTCCTTTATTACCTTGGTGCATAGAACGCACAATTAAGTAGGTGTCCAAAGATCAGAGATTCAGTAAGACACATTGAAGAATCAGAAAATGTATTATGGAAATGATAGCTTGACAGATGCTGCTTTCATGTGAATCTCTCGTATGTAGGCCTGAAATGCAGGGAGCAAAAAGGTGGTCTAGAGTTACCCTCTCCAATTTTCCCTCCATCCTTGTGTAAAGTGGAGTGAGAGAATAAATAAAAATCATGCTCACTCTGTTCACACCCTCAAAACCTATCAGGATTTGGCTCCTTATCAGCATTGCTTTTTCTGAGCATACATCATTCATATAATTTTTTTGTCAAATCCTGAGTCCCTGAAGGATTAGTGCTCACTTTCAAAAAACTAATATGAACTCAAATTTACATTTCCCATTTCACTCTTCCTTTCTAAGTACAGTGTAATTCAGACCTATTTGACTGATATAAATTGCATTTTAGAACTAGCTAGTTAATTATGCTAGAGACAGACATTTCAAAAAAGAAAATAAGATGGAGGAAAAGTAACAGATTTGACTTACTAGAATGTAGTCCCGATGTTACGAAGAAGCTGTAACTTTTAAGCAATCTTTAAGAATAAAGTCAGTCCTTCAGGTGTAACTTAGTTTAACGTCAAATAAAGCAGAGTGAAATAACATTTCTTCAGGTTTGGTGAAATGAAAAATTGAGGCAAGGAAATATTATGTACAGCTGAGTCAAAAAATGTTTTTCAGAATCTTCAGCTACAATACTAAACAAAAATAAATGAAAAATACATTTTGCTATTAGGTGAACCTGAAATGCTTTGCTTTCAGTGGAATTTTTAAACTCTTTGTCTAACCTCAATTTTTTTTTTTATTTCACTCACTATTTGTAGAAGTATTTTTCTGGATTAAGGTCCAGAGAATTCACATGACCATGAAGCACTGCTTCCCCTTTATCTTCTTCAGGGGTGAGAAGCAGATCACAGCATCCAAGTAAGGTTCATCTTGGCCTTGGCAAACAGCTTTTACCACATCTTCTGATGGATGTGAGGTAATATGTTCAAGCAGCACATGTAACCTAGCTCTCATGCTTGCAGCTATAGAGAAGACTTTCAAGCTAACAGTGCCCCTTACTGAATCTGTGATCTTAGGGCATTTGCGTAACTGCGCATTTCAAGCGGTTTGTATCTAAAAGGATGAGCGTTAGTTACCATCACTGAGGCCTTGTTATGATTACAAATGAGATTTCTACATTCCCAAAAGGAGTTTAACCACTTACTCTGGTTGATTTCAAGGGAAGCCCAGGATTTAATTTCTGTAGACAGTTCTTAAAATTCTGTCCTGCTTAATTAATGTCTGTTCAGGACTTTGAACATGTTGAAAGTGTGTATAAATGTGAAGTATTCTTGCTGTTCATGAAATATCCATGTGGCAGGTTGAAATGTACTTATGTGAACCATTAACAAAGTCTTATGAAGAAGTGATTAGATGCTTGGATGTGAGGCATTTTTCACAAACAATTTACACACTGAAACAGAAATAGAAATCACAAAATATGCAGTCAGAAAATAGTTCAAGCAGCTACATTTGTTTAGGTATAGCATTTAGGTGATATAGATTAGAAAAGTGGCCTTTTGGACTTAATGAAATTCAGTTTATGTAAAAAATATCAGAGAAGAAAAATTTGAATTCCTAATTTCCTCTACAGAGATTAAACAATGGTTTAGCACATATGAATTTTCCTCATAAGTGCTGGATCGCCCTAATTTCCCAAGTGTATCAGTAGAAGGTGGTGGGTGTTCAGCACTGTTGAAAAATCAGGTCACCTTTGTAAAAGATTGTGGGATGGAATTTCAAAAGATCTCAACATGAAGTTGCGAAAGCGCACAGAGGGTGGAAGCATACAGAGGTTGGAAGAAAGGACAGGTAGCCTGGATGGATACAAAAACCTTATCCAGTCATGCAGTGAATAACTTAGGAAAGCTAAAGCCCATCCAGAACATGTCTAGCTTGGAATGTCAAAGACAAGAAGAACTTCTATAAGTACATAGCTGACAAAAGGAAGACTAGGGAAAATGTGGGCCCATTGCTTAACTAGAGAGGAGACCTGGTTAGACAGGATATGATTGAATACCTTTCTTGTCTTGGTTTTTACCAGCAAGACCACACTTCAGGAATCCCAGGTCCCAAAGACCAGTTCTAGGCTGCAGCAAGGAAATTGCTTAGTGGAAAAGAACCAGGTCACAGAATACTTAAGCAACTTGAACATACATAAATTCATGGGCCTTGATAGGATGTACCCAAGAGCACTGAGGGACCTGACAGATGTCATTGCAAAGACATCTTGGTAACCTTTGACAAATTGTGATGATGAGGAGAAGTGCCTGAAGTCTAAAGGAAAATAAGTATCACTGTTACCTTCGAAAGGAAGACCCAGGGAACTATAGGATGGTCAGCATCACCTCAGTCACTGGGAAGGTGAAGGCTGGAAAACCATTTCCATGCATAAGAAGGACAAGAAAATCATCAGGAATGGTCAGCATTCCTTCACCAAGGGGAAGTCATGCTTGACCAATTTGATAAACCTGTATGATAAAATGACTGGCCTGGCAGATGAGGGGAGGGTAGTGGGCATTATCTACCTGGACTTTAGTAAGGGCTTGATACTATGTTTCATGAGATCCTCATAGACAGGATGTTCCTGTAGGGGCAGTCTATTCTCAGCAAGTTTGCTGATGACAAAAACCTAGGAGGAGTGGCCATCCAGATAGACCACAGGAGACTGGAGAAATGGGCTGACAGGAACCTCAGGAAGTCCAACAAGGAAACATGCAAAATCTTACACCTGCGGACGACCAAGCCCACTCACCAATGTATACTAGAGGTCACCTCTCTGAAAAGCAACTTGGAAAAATATCCTGGTGGACACCAAGTTGAACAAGAGCCAGCACTGGGTTCTTGCTACAAAGAAGGCAAATAGAATCCTGGGCTACACTAGGCAAAGTATTACCACTAGATCAGTGGAGGTGATCCCTCCTCTCTACTAAGCACTGTTGAGGCCAGCAGTGGTGTTTCCCAGTCAAAAGAGACTTGGACATACTGGAAAGAGTCCAGTTAAGGGGCATCAAGACGAGTGAGGGACTGGAGCAACTCTCTTTCCTTCTATGAGGAAAGGCTGAGAGAGTTGGGACTGTTCAGCCTAGAGAAGAGAAGGTAATTCCAATCTTTATTATTTTATCATAATTTTATTCATTTATTTATTTAAGTTCAAAAGAGCTGCATGGTCTTCTTGTGGGGGTTTTGTGTGGGGTGGGTTTCTTTGTTTTGGTTGATTGGTTGGTTTTTTGTTTGTTTTTTAATAAAAGCATAATGGCATAATGGATTTAACCACTGGGTTGGTTTTTTTTGTTGTTGTTGTTTGTGGGGTTTTTTTTACCTCTTTGCTTATAAGGGTCTTTTTAGCCATATTTTTAAAATCTGAATCTAGATAAGATGTCCACAGTTCCTCTTAATTTTGGAATGCATAGCTTCTTCTGAGAACCTTAAGAAAGAGAAATATCAGCTAATTGACCACTTTTGAAATGATAGAATAATATTCAATTAGGATTATTTCAGCAGCTGTTAGATGTCAGTATTGTTCTGTGGAAGTACAATTGGAAGGAGATTTCTACAGCTGTAAGCAAGCTAGCTCTTCAACTGTGAAGTTTGGAAGAGCTAGCTGTTGGTGTTCAGCACCTCATCTATTAACAAGAGACTTTAAATTACATACTCAGTGGAGCAGTAATCATTAGAGCAGACTCAAGATGCACAATAGAGATTTAATTTCACTGGAACTGTTCCTAATGAAATTCTGTGTGGTGTAGACTATTTGAATTACAATTTTGGATGGGCCAAAAAAAGGTATATGGAAAAAAGTGATGCTGTCTAAAAATAATCATTAAGATCAATTTTAAAGATTAAAACCAGATATGATATGTGGGTTGGGTAGACTGACTTTTTTTTTTAAACACATAATGTATTTAACCTTTCTGTTTCTTTCATGTATTTGGTTTTCTACTGTATGTATAATGAAATATCTTTTTTTTTCCCTAAGCTTTGAACAGTGCTGTATAATACCTTGGGGAGTTCTCCAAGGTTATTAAATCCATTGCTTTGCTGCAAGTTACTAAAGGCCACACTAACTCTTTCCTCTGTTTGGAAAGCGTTATAATATTTCTGGTCTTCAGCAATGAATAATATGATTAGTACCTTAGGAAATACAAACAAAAACATTAGCAAAGTACATTTTCCAAAATTTAAAAGTGTAAGCCAATTCTCAAAACAAAAGTTGAATGTTCTTGAACACTGTCTAATAACATTAACTTAAAATCATTTGGTTTAATTGCCCTGTTAAGCAGTTTATTGCATTACTTATGGGATAATAGAATGAGTTCAAAGTGGGTTCATTGCATTATCTTATAAACAATGTAGCACATCATTAAGCAAGATGATAGAAATCAATGTATTTTATAAGAAACAATTATGAAGGCTCCTGTAAAATCTCTAATGTAAGTAGCAGAAAGACCTCACTGTGACAAGGGAAAAAAAGGCCTCTGTGAGGATAAATAGACAAAGCAAAGTCAAACTATAATTCCCCAGAATAAGATTAGAAGCACAATTCTCCAAAACTGTTAGATTTCCTCTAGTCTGATATGCTGCCCTACGTCTTCACCCAGAAGTACACAAAAATATCTTTCTTGGCTTACAAATAATATTTCTAACAGGTATCTTGTCAGTTTTCTTTTTACTGAATTTAGCACAGATGTGTGACAACCTTCCAAGCCTCTACCTTGCAAACATGTGATGATCTACTTTGACTTGTGTGTCCAGAGGCAATGCAAATAGAAATGTTCAGGAGAACCCAAAGAGAGAGGACAGCTGATCCAATCTACTCTGGAAGAAATAATTTCATGTTGTCTGAGGGAGCTGACAGTGCAGAGAGAAATACTGGTCCAGTATGAATGAGCGGAACCAATTTTGTTCTCCACCCCTTCAGAAATGAGAACAAACGAAAACACTGGAAAATTCCTCCAGAGATCAGAGCCAAAGTGAGCGTGGTTCAGTGATCCTAAATGATCTGCAAAGCATTTTGTTGCTGAGCTCCAGTCTCTGAAGGTGATGCGGGGAGAGAGTCTAGGAGATGCCAGACCCCCTGACCAAATGCCTGTCCTACATCAGAAACATTTCATGCTCTGCCTTTATTATTGTTGCTGCAATGCTGACCATCTCACTCACAGCATGTGCACTGGCATTTCCATGTGCACATGAGAGGGTTTCAATTAATCAAAGCAATTTTCAGAGTGGGGAACTAGTGGAGAAGTGATTAGCTTCATACATCTGCCTCTTTCCTGGTTTGCAACTCAACTGAGCTGTGCAGAGAGCTCAGGGTCTAACTTTGGTTAAGAGCATTTTACTCTAGTAAAGGTGAGGTCCTCACTTGAAGGAACGTTGATGCAACTTGGCTTGCAGTGAAAATATACTTTAGTTTCCTCACAGTAAACTAAACATTTATTCTCTTAGAAATTTTGGACATATTTCAATAACTGAAAATAAAACTCCCCTGTAATACAAGAGTTGTTTCTTTTTTTTTTTTTGGTGGAAAATTCTTAGGTGCGAGGAACAAGCTCCAATCAAAAAGATTTGGCCAGAAATAATGGCAGTGGTATTTATCTGAATGAGAAACAAAATCTCTCTATACCATCGATGTTTTCCAGAAAAAATCTTCTCACATGATGAGCGCTGCACAGTCTTGTTCACCAAAGCCATTGTTTATTAGCTATAAATGTTTGTGAGAGCGTGAGGAAACTGATTGGTTTCATATGTACTACTTGTAAGACCATCAGATAACAGTCTTTATTTAGTACTTCAATAAAGTAACTTTAAACAAAGTGTCCTGATCTCCTGTGACTAATCTACCCTGCTTTGTATCTCCCTCTGAGATTTATCTTTTGACCAGATTTATAGTTTTAGTTAACCTCAGCTTCAAACATCATCTATCCTGATCCTGCAGTAGAGGCAAATAGGATCTCTCCTACTCTCCTGCAATGGCTGTTGGAAGCAATCCCTGACCTTTCTCTGTGATTCTGTTAGGGTTCAAATAGAGCCATGCCACTATTTGGAAATTGGTAGTGCAACAAAGATAAATGATGCTACTATTATTCGCATTTCTTCACTGAAAGGATTGTCAGGCACTGGAAAAGGATACTCAGGGAAGCAATTAAGTCACCATTCCTAGAGGTATTTAAAAGATGTGTGGATGTGGCACTTAAAGACATGGTTTAGTGGTGGACTTAGCAGTGTGAGGGTAGTAGTTGACTTGATGATTTTAAAAGTACTTTTCAACCTAAAGGATTCTGTGATTCTTTTTTTCCTCTAAAAGTAAAGAAAACCTGAGGTCAGTAGATGAACACTTTGAGGCTATTCCATGGCATGAAGAGTTAAATGTCAGGAAAAAGGGATACTTTGCACATACACATATATATATATAGATGATCCATATGTGCATGGCAAATCCAACACTTTTGGGACTTAGCAGATTCTCAGTGCTTGTGATACATACAGGATTTGGGCATAGCAGGAAGTCTGATACAGGGTATACCATAGTTTTTTAGATTGATCCATATTGGAAATCCTGATATTATGTTACCAAAATGTTAACTTCTCAGTTCTAGTATAAGTTCTGAATGAATGCTACCCTGATCTTTAAAAATCTGGCCATTTTAAAAGACTCGATGTTAATGTGGTTACTGAACAGGCAAGTATATCTAGCTTGCTTCCATTTTTATGGGCATTCAGTTTGGAAGCAATCCCTTTGTGAAACAGGAGGCTTAACTTCCTTGTCTTTACCCTTCCCCTCAAACAAATAACTATGTTCAGCAGCAAGTCACTGAAACAAGAATCCCCTGATATATTTGCTTTTGAAAGAGTTTGCAGCTATAACTTCAGTTGCAAACCTCCCTTGGAGAGTTCTTCTATGTAAGTGATATTAAATTGATAGGGAAGCTTGGCCTCTAAGAAGCTAATAGTGAAGTGCCCTTTACAAGAGCGAGGCAAAGATTTTACTGTGTGTATTAATAGCCAAAGCCTCTGTATTGACACTTCTACAACTCAAAAAGTTATGGACTATTACTGTACTATATTTTACAAGTTATTTCGAATGAGCTAGTACTTGCTTAAAAAAAGTAACATTAATCTTAGTTTGCTTGTTTGAAATCAGTGATTTGACTTCCGCTTTGCCAATGGGGATTACTCAGGAAAGGTCTGACATGCTTCCAGAGAAAGAAAATTCTACTGGCATCGGGTTAAAACGTCACATGAGCCTGAGCAATCCACATAGGCTTTGAAATTGCTCTTCTCTGCCGTTGTCTGGAAGAAAATAATCAGAGAAATTCAATACTTTCCCTTTTTATGGGTTTATTTTTATTTTTAGAACACAGTTTCCTTATTTGAATTAGGCTTCAACTGTCTGGTTTTAGCCCTCATCCTTGGCATGACATTAAATACAGTTTCCATCATTAAAAAGCTAACACAATAGTATGGTTGTAAGGGCATCTAAAAGTTAAACAATTGTAAATAGGCAAAATTGGCAGCAGTTTCTACTGTTCCATTTTCATGCGAAACTGCTGAAGGATTTCAGTGCAACTTTTTCTGAGATCATATTGTTAAGAGCTTCTATACGGTGTTAAAAAAGTTTTCCAGGTGTATCTTGTCTCAGACAGTGGCCAGCAGTGGATGCTAAGGAGAATAGCATAAGGATATTAATTCATTAAATTGAAATGTCTGAAGCCATCTTATCTGTGTGTCAGATAATAAGTCTGTGGAGCTGCTCCTGAACTGCTTTGTGTTCAGCTTGGAATAGTGATATAAAGCAGTAGTTATTTCAGCTTGCCATAACTGAATTGCAGTGCTCAAGAGGAGATCAGTACACACATCTTTCAGGTACACTTCAGCTCCAGGAGGGGGAGGCAGTAAACACCTCCATACCTGCCTTTTCAGAACCTCAAACCTTGGCAAACATATAGTGATACTCCCCCAACAGATACCCTGCCAGCTCCACAGCCACCCTGGGCTGGAGACTGTAGATGGAGCTGCAATCCATAAGTGCAAGCTTTTATCAACACAAAAGCCCTGTTTATTCATCATATAATAATTCAACGGGAATATTGGCTTAGGGTCCACCTGAAAACTGAATGCCACAGTTTACCTTTAAAACAGGAAGCAAAGGGAAAACTGATTCAAGTAAGACAGTAACAGTAGTTTTCTCATTATTCTTTGTGAGCAGGAATGGAATTATACAACATGTCCATGTGCTAAAAAACAGTGAATATTTTTTCTGAAGGGAATCCTTCATCCAAACTCCACCTTTTCGCATTTTAAAGGAGATAAATTTAGTACATTTCTATAATTTGTGCCAGCCAGCACAATGAAAACCCCTTACAAGCCTTAATGAATTTAGCTTTTTGCATTTCAACACGAAGAGGAGCATAACAGAAGAAAATTAGCACAGTTATGTTAAATGTAGCACCTCAGTGAATGGTGTACTCAGCATTTTAACAGGTAGCAGAGGTGAAAAACTGTGTTTTTCAGCATTTATAGTACTGACAGTCTGGATTTAGTGGACAAAAAAAGTAGATAAAAATATATAAAAGTGTAGATTATCTCAAGGGCACCAAATAGAGAAATCTCTCTTGTCCTGTGTATGTTAGATGGTACGTTGGAAAAACTGTGCTTAAAGCTCAGACAGCAAATTGGAAAATTGCTTGATATCTGAAAAAAAAGTAATCATATCATCACTGGGAGAGTAAAACTTCCACAGAAGCCTTTCACAGAACAGTCGGTTACTTTATCCAGTTCAGTGGCTTATGAAAAATTGATACATAAGCTTCATAATAGACTTAATATTTTTGGAGTTGCCTGATCTCACATGATGCATGCAGAAAGACTTCAGAGTAGAGGCTTACAGTGCCCAAGACTACTCTCATTCACAAAGCCCAAATGAAAAGGGATTTGCATGGAAGCAATAGGCAGGTTAAGAGCAAGGATGAATCTTCTTTTTAAGTTGCAAGCAGGGAGTGCGGTAATTTGCAGTTTCTAACCATAATCTATGAACTATTCTGCAGCAGCCTTGCTAATACGGGCATGTAGACCTGAAAGTATGGGTCTACAGGTCACTCCAGCATCATGACCAACAAAGTCTTGTGGGTATAGCATATTTCCTGTATTCTCTAACCCAGATGGGCTGCTGAAATGCTGTATTACTCCTGTGTTTCTTTCCAGCTCCCCCTGCTCACTCAGAGAGTTGCAAAAGCTGGGTCACAGGCATTGAGAATGCCAGCTGTGAAATGAAGGAGAAAGAACAGGAACTGCTTCATGCTGTCTGTTTCCCTTAGTTTTGAGTGGTTTTTTAAGTGATTTCACACTGTGGTTGTAATGTGGAGAGTGAGATATTTGATTATCTTGACCTTTCACAAGCTTTTATACAATGAATATTTACATATACACAAAGATAGGTACGGGAATGTAGTTAAATGCATGTGTGTAGATCCATGTACTCATTCACATAGAAAACCACCTAAAAGAGAGATGGAAAGTAACTGTTTTGTCTCACTGCATCAGACACTCCAGTCACAGAAAGTCACTGACACAGATATAAACACATATGATCCCTGCTCAGTGTTCAGGGCTTTGTTAAGTCCCTGTCACCCAATAACTGGATAATTCATTCACATAAAACAAAGAATTAGCATAGACAAGCATCAAATCCATTGTATGTGCAGGCTGCTGTCGGTCTTTTCTTGTCTTGTGGTAGTATAGATTTAGAACCTCTGGACAAAAGTAAAGTTCTGTGTGTGAAAAGGACCATTCTCCTGCATATTCACTCCAAGCTTATCCAATGAGCATTTGAAAGGCTGCTTAGTTTTATCAGCACTAACATGTACAGCTGTATAAACCTGCATTAGCAGGTTTCTTGTCAGCCCACAACAGCCTCATTTTTAAATGATCCCTACTTCCTCAGGAAGTGCTTTTGAAACTAACATACTTGAAAATTTACTTCAAATGAGAAAAAAAGATGTTTCTGTGGTAAAACAATGGTGTAAGCAGAGACCTTGTCTTCATACTTTCTCATCTGCTGGAAAGTTTGGGGTTGGATTCCATTAGATGATCAGCTGGGAGATGATATGGCCTAATATTTCTCATCAGTTTGGCTCTCTTGGCTCCTCAGACATCTGTTCACTGGAGCTTCAGATGGAGAATTAGCAGATTCAGACAGACAGGATACACTTGAAAATTACCTCCTAATTCTCAGAAAGCAGAAATGCTGTGAATATTTCCTTTCAGGAAAGATATGTTCGGATTTTCAGAAGCTCATTTTGTTTCTTGAAAACTCCCTATGTGACTCAAGTAATAAATAATTTTTCAGGGAAAAAAATTTCATTTTCTAGTCATCTTTAGTCCTTTGACATTACCTAGAGTTTCTATGTGACAACAAGAACTAAAGCATCCTAGAAGACTAGAAAGCTTGAAAACTCTTGGCTACTTGTTTTGGGGGAAAATTCTGCTGGGGAGAAATTCAGCTTTCTTCTCACTTCTGCTCACATCTGCTCTGAGAATCTCAGGGGACCTTGAAGCATATGGAATATCTTCAACAATATATTTCAACCCATGCTCATTGCTATTCTGCTCACTATAACATAAAAATTACACACTGTTATTTTACCTTGGTGAGAACAGCACTGCAGGTATCAGTATGATTTTAGATTTTAATCTAACATGGAAAACAGACATCTTTTCTTACTGAAAATGAATGCACAAGCATGGAGTTTGAGCAAAAAGTCATGCACAACTTTTGTGTGTGAAACAGAAGGGGACAGATTAGAGTCGGGAAGAAGGGCAGAAATTTGTGAGGCAAGCCCTTAGCACACAGCATTCAGGAGAAAAAAAAGTGGGTTATCTTACAATGTATGCCCATGCATGTTCCTTTGAATGGTAGCTATGCACGTGGCAATCACAAGGTGGCCAAGTGCTTTTGGCTAAACCTTAAGTAAATTTGGATTTTGCTTTAAGTTAGAAATGCCTGATCAGACTATAGGAAGTCATCAGACTCTGAGGTCAAAAAGGAACATGGGAACACCTAGCAACCCCATACCTAATTCAAAGCTTATTTCTGACCTATTTTAGATCCAATGTTTTATATTGTTTTTGAATAAGTTTTGAATTGTTTTTGAAAAGCAACCAGTCTTGATTTTAATATTCGCAGTGGTCAGCTATTAAGCCTGAGGTAAATTGTGTCAGTGATTCTGAGGACACATGTTAGCTAGCTACCTGCTTTTGATCTCAGTTGCTATCTTTCAGGGCTACGGTGACTTCTGATCTTATATGTTCCTGCGGTTCTCCCTTGCAGATCCAGTGTTCAGCATACTTCATGAGATATGAAGACATCTAAAAGTTTGGTTTGGGGACAAATGGAGGGGAGATTTTAGCTCAGTTTCCTGGAGTTCCAGGATATGCAGAGAAGGGTACACTGGTGTTTCTTTTGCAAAATTTTGATAACAAAATTGAAATTTAAAAACATCTGAATATGTTGTGAATTTTATCATATCATAAGGCCCAACAGAACAAAAATTTTAAAGAAAAATTTTTCTATTTCCAAAATATTTCTATTTTTCAGTTAGAAATCCATTTTTTCTGGGACTTCCCACTTTTTTGATTTACACAATTCAAAAGTCTTAAAATCTAAATAACAATTTTAAATTTTAGTCATTTAAAATTATTTAATCCCTAGTGGATGACTGTGAGTTTTGGTAGGCTGATTGTTTTTCACCCTTTGATTGCTAGTGTCATGGATATAACTCATTTGCCCAGAACCCTATTGTGACACAGCTGAACACCTCATCATCTTGAACAGCATTTGTGCCTATGGAAAGAATAAAGCTCTTTCATGGGATGTTTCAGATGGTAGGGGACTGAACCACCCTCTCATAAACATACCTCTGCCCCACTGGCTGTAGAAGGACTCTAAAGCAGTTACACTTCTAGCACAGCTGTCTCTAAGGTCTAAGGTTAGGTGAGATGCAGCTGATCTAAAAGTGCTTATGAGTAGATGGATGCCTCCAGATGTGCACACCTCAGCCCTCCCCGAGCTGATAAGATAGGCAGTAGCTGTACATAGGAGGTGATAGAGTTACACTACCATGGGCTATTTCCAATCTAATAAGCCTACCTTTCAGCAGGGTTTGTTACTGGACACCAGCCATCCCACTAATGGCTTTGGAAAAGAGCTTGCTCACCTCTGGCTGTCTCTTTTGGGGCAGAAAAAGTCTCCTCTCCTGCTCATGTGGAAATTCTGTGATACTACACATCACTTTTGGGTACCCTTCTAAAATCTCTTTATCATTTTGTGTAACTCATGAATTATGCCATATGTATCATTTACCCCTGTTTGGTTTTTGTTTGGTTGTTGTTTTTTTTTTCTGGTTTAGTTGTTTACATACTTAAATACAGGGTTCTTTCCAAATGTCTGCAAGGCTCTGGGAGGGAGACTTGTATCAGAGGGAGTGACCAGTACAGTGGGCACTTTAAATTACATATCTCTTATTAACATAGGCTACAATGTACTCTGATTGAGCTGGGAGCCTGTAGTTTCTGTACCATGAGTAGTGACTGGATAATACATAAACAACTACTTTTAAAGTCTTCCCAAACTTATTACTCAGCACTGGTGAGGCCACACCTTGAGTACTGTGTCCAGTTCTGGTCCCTCAGTTCAGGAAGGATATTGAGGTCCTGGAGCAGGTCCAGAGAAGAGTAACAAGGCTGGTGAAGGGATTGGAGAACAAGTCCTGTGAGGAGAGGCTGAGGGAGCTGGGGTTGTTTAGCCTGGAGAAGAGGAGGCTCAGGGGACACCTCATCACTCTCTACAACTCCCTGAAACGAGGTTGTAGCCGGGTGGGGGTTGGTCTCTTCTCCCAAACAGCTATCAGTAAGACAAGAGGTCATGGTCTTAAACTCTGCCAGGGGAGGTTTAGGTTGGATATTAGGAAGAAATTCTTTACAGAAAGGGTAATCAGGCATTGGAATGGGCTGCCCAGGGAAGTGGTGGATTCTCTGTCCCTGGAGGTTTTTAAGATGAGACTGGATGTGGCACTTAGTGCCATGCTCCAGTAACCACGGTGGTGTTGGATCAAGGGTTGGGCTTGATGATCTCAGAGATCCTTTCCAACCTGGCTGATTCTATGATTCTATGATTCTATTTGTTTTGAATCAATTCAGGCCATTTAAAAAATGCAGCTAGTACCTAGGCATCAAAAGGCTGTGCTGATCCATGAGAAATGTTGATTAGGATGGAAAATGGCTCGGAACTAGCCTGAGTTTTCAATGATCTCGTGTCAGGGCAAGCTGAGCAGAATCGTGGCTACCACAAATGATTAGGACCATTCCTAACGACACATAGCCTGGGATAACTGGACACATGTGTTGCAGTTCCAGTAGCGACTAACTTCTTTAATTTAAATAATTAGAAGAATGTTTGTAGCGGAAAGTTAAAAGTGGTACAGCTATCCTGGGACGCTTGCTTTCCAAGTGATACATTTTAATCAGTGACAGAAAAAGTCATTTAAACAAAAGAAGTTTTTGACCCAGAGTAATCATAAAGAAAGAAAGAATATAATTCTTAAATTACTTAGAATAGGTGCTAAAATTAAGGTTTTAAGATAAAAGATAAAGTGAACAGGTTGCCAAGAGAAGGGGTGGATGTCCCATCCCTGGGAGTGTTCAAGGCTAAGTTGGATGGGGCTCTGAGCAATCTGTTCTAGTGGAATACGTCCGTGCACACGGCAAGGGAATTGGAATTAGATGATCTTTAAGGTTACTTCCAACCCAAACCATTCCGTAATTCTATGGTTCTATGATCTTCATCTGTGAAGCAATAAACCTAGTTAAGTTTGCAAACACGTGAGACAAAATGGAAGCATACGTGCTATCTGAAAGTTTGGATATGGGTTTTAACATCTTCTAAGAATTATATTCTTGGGTGGAGTGGGATGTTGTACAGTACCTTAATTTAATTTCCTTTAAAATATTGATCCTATTCTTCTGAAATCATATGTTCTGTTGGATAGAATCAAGAATGACACTCAGAGTAGGAATCAATTGATAAGATGTAGGTATCTCCATCTTCAGTAGCCACTTTAGGCTTTCTTTATAAGTCAATGAAAAGAAATAGCTACTTTGAGGGCATGATTCATCTACTCCTAACATCTCTGTATCAAACAGACAGACTGTACGCTAAATGTACTTCTGTATTTCCAGTGATTATATGATTATAGAAGGAGCTATCCAGGCAAGTGCATCTAGTTGCCTAAGTTCAGATGATGGATTCCAATCTTACAGTACAAAATACATGGGTGTTGCAGTTTAGAGTCATTTTGGTTTTCACAAAAAGGATCAGGTCTCTCATTTCATTTAATTCATCCTTATTCCCTGTTTCAGAAGTCTTATTGAGAGCCAGAGGAGAAGGGAAGATTTAATTTCTCCTAAACCCACTTAAACCTTTTGATATCATCAGTTGCAAAATGCAAGAATACTGTTGCAGAAAAGGTTATTTGAGCAAGAATGAAGAGAATAATAGACTTTTATTAGAATAGTTATATGTGGGCTCTGGGCCTAGTTCAAAATCCACCAAAGGCAAAGGGAAACTTCAAAGTTTGATCTCTAATTTCTGTTATCATCTCCTGAAACTATTGAAAAAAAAAGGATCATTAGTATGCTGTAAAAGAATCAGAGGTAAATTAGGATTCTTAAAGTTATTTAATGTTCTAAACTAGATAGTTTTCATCGCTCAAT